CGTGTGAATAAGAAAAAAAATTATATATGCACTCATCTCCTTTTTTCTTTTTTTAAGGATAAATGTCTCGGCCCATATTTACACTCAATTTAATAGGTTAATTTAAAGAGTAATATATATATATATATATATATATATATATATATAAATACTGTTATGTTTGAATATATAAATTATATTTAAATTTATATAAGATAGATATTTTTAAATATATAAATTATATTTTAGATTATGATAAATAATTTATATTGTAGTACATTATTTATTAACAATTTATTTAAAAATTAATATTTAATTGATAAACAATTATGGTAAATAAATGAAAACTGAATTAAATAAGAAGTTAAAATAATTTATACAAATTCTCTTATCAAAGAAAAGTCTCAAAAAAAATACTCACACAAAAAATAGTGGTTCATATTTAATATACAAGGATTGATTTAGTTTGTATTTGTTTTATGAGTTAATAACATTGCATTTGCAGTATCAAATGATTTACAACTATTTTGAAAATTTTTAAATAATATAATTATGTTGACCCAAGTAATGCAATTTATACCAATTCATTCATGATCGGGTTAAGTTGGGTTAAATTTAAAAAAAAAAATTGCATAAACCTGACAGAATCCATCTAATTGAATTTTGATCAAATTGGATAACAAATTCATCTAAACTCGACTCAACCTGTCCCACTTACACTCCTAATGGGCCGAGTCGAGCTGGATTGGCTCACGTTTTGAGCAACCCTTGGTGGGTCAATATTAGTAGCTTACTTTGACAACTCTTGATGGTAGAGGCCAAGTTAGGGGACCCACCACTAGGGCTATGACTATGAGGATACAGGAAGATTGGATCAGTGTTGAGGATGGTGGGCCCAAGCTACTCTTGAGTTTGGCTATTGTACTATCCGTACCGTTATGCCGAGCTCGAGCTCGGTATCACAGCGCAAAGTGACCTCGAACACATGCTGGGCAACGTCGGCCCGCTATCCAAATAGGTCATAACTGATCTCGGGCCCAAGGCCCAGATAAACCCTAATTCACACTAAGTTATGTGCATTCCTTATACGAGCCCCATACATCCACAAATACTAACTTTAGCATCGGAGTCTCTTTTGCAAGTACCACCCCCGCCTTAGAACAACAATCGTACCTAGCGAAGGAGGCTCACCGATCTTGCCAACAGATCGTCCCTACGACTGATCTCCGGTAAGAACATTTGGCGCCCACCGTGGGGCCGATCAAGACAGCTCTTATCGGCCACGTTTATGGTTTTCACCTGAAGCCATAGTAGACGAGCAGCAGACGACATAGATCGCACGACAAGCATGGACAGCGAAGCAGCATTGAGAAGACTGATCGAACAAGTCGAATAGATGCGGCAGCAGCACGCCGCCGACCTGCAAAGCATTCGTGCCAAGCATGAAACCGACCTGGCAGCGCTGCGCGCCGCGAACGAGACTGACCTAGCGGCGCTGAGTGCCGAGAATGAGCGTATTTGCGCCCAGCTTCCTCGGCGCCCTTTTGATCAACCCCCTCAATCGAGTAACCAACACGAGGAAGAGGGGCACTCGGCTTCTCAACCACCGACTGCACCTAGGGCACCGACTCCCAGGCCTGCCACACATCGGTCGCACGCACCAACGAATAGGTTGGCCCATGAAGTCAGCAATGCTCCTGGCCAGGCCCCGGGAAATCGGGCGAGCATTCGTCGCCATCCTTTTGTGGACGACATCATGGAGACGCCTCTACCTTTTGGCTGGAAGCCCCTCCACATCGACCGCTACGACGACACGACAGATCCGGACGAGCACATCGACCTGTACATTACGCAGGTAAACCTTTACACTAACGAAGATGCTATTCTGTGTAGGGTTTTTCCGACCTCGCTCAAGGGAGCCGCTCTCAATTGGTACACCCAATTACTGGCTGAGTCGATTAACAACTTCGACACTCTAGTAATGCGATTTCACGGCGTAGTATGCCACGAGTCGGCCTCACCATGTCACATTAGCCGGCTTGGCCAGTCTCAAGCAGGGCAACGACGAATCACTAAGGACGTTCATGGAGCGCTTCACCAGCATCTCGGTCAAGATTCAGAATCTGAAACCCGAGGTCTCCCTGCACGCCATGCTCATGGTGCTCAAGCCTGGACCTTTCGTGGAAAGCCTGTGTCGACGAGCTCCCCTTGACATGGATGAACTCCGTGCCCAAGTTGCATGGTACATCTTGATGGAGGAGCACTCCGCTTTCCGTGACCAGGTTCGTGGCAAAACACAGGCAAAGCCAGACCATGGTGACAAAGACAAGATGAAGGTCACCAATGACAGCCAGTTCAAGAAGGCTGCTAGGGTAAATAAAGGAGGGAGGTACGACTTTTACACCCCCTTGAGTGCGCCCCGAGTGCACATCCTGGAGGAAGCCAGCAACAACAACTTGCTCACTCTACCACCACCCGGGCACAGTCCCAATAACGTGGATAGGTCAAAGCACTACATGTACCACAGAAACCACGGTCACACCACCAAGGAATGTCGCACACTCTGAGACCGTATAGAGGAACTCGTCCAGGCGGGTCACCTCGGGCAATACATCCAGTGACAGTTATCGCAACCCGAAAATTTTTGATCTCGTGACCTATGGTTTAAACATCCTTTTGAAAGTCTCATCAATTAAGAAATGCCCGGACACCAGACTAATCCTTAATTAATGGTTTTGAAAAATGAGTTCATGGAGTCGCCAACAATATTTTACTCAAAACACTGGAAAAAGAAAAGGTTTTTAAAGATCCAATAATGGCCTTAATAACCAGAATTGGGTTTGGGGGTCGAGGTATTAAGCACCCCTACAACGCCCTTAATCGGTACCCTATGATGAAATTACAATTAAAAATAATAATAATAGAAATATTAAATCCCCTTTTATTAATAACTATTTACATGCTTGAAATTTAAATTATACAATTGACCCTAAAATGTCTACATGATTGCTTTTATTATAACAATATTTATCAAAGATAAAAAATAAAAGAGAGAGAAGAAGATTGACTAAAATACCTCTTGAACAAGCACTATTGGATCTTCAAATATGAAGATTCAGGTGCTTTGTGGCAACCTTTCACACTACAATAAGCCTCACAAAACTCAAGAAATACAATAGGAGGGAGAGAGAGAGAAATTTTGAGCT